TTTTCATTCTCATAACTCTGGATGGATTTTGCTTGTAACTTTAAATGAGACTTGTATTCACCAGTGTGCTAATGAGAATTACAAGCAAACAAAGTTAAACCAAATGGAGCTGTTCAGAGTTCCACTTCACCAGCATAGATGGTAGAGCTTAGAATTGCCATGTAGCCTCAAAAGTGAGTCTCTTCAGGGTTATGTGCAAGTTTGCATTTAGGAGCAGAACTGTATTGAATCGTCATGAAAGTTATAAGCTTCTTCTCCAGAGCCTGTGGCATTCCCACCAGTTAGGAATTAAGCTGCCCGGAGAAACATGGAGAGACATCTCTGGTGCAAGTGCATTTAATCAGTGGCGCCACACCAGGAATATATTGGCTTGGTTTTATAACTTTTGGCCAGATGAAGATATTACAAGGCACACTGTTCAGAAACCAGCCTCTCGGCAGGAAACACTGAAGAGACCTCTCTTTTTTCCCAGTTCATTCTTTCCAGACTGGTAGCTCTGAAAGTGGCCTCTCCTGACACCCAACCTAAGTGAGGGCTTGAACATAGGGGAAAAGGCTTCTTCGGCAAATATTAGCTGTTTATATGTATTACAACTGTTTCAATGTAGATTATTTTAACTATGTTTATATTTAAATACAGCTCAGCCTTTTTATGGAATTTATACATAATATGCACCAAAATTCTTGCACCATCTTCTGGCCGTTCTATATGCTAGGACTGGTGTAGCCAAAGGGCCAAAAATAGCAACAGCCATGTCCCTCTCCCTTAAAGGAAGTTGAAGGCTAGATGGTGGTGCTAGTCTCTAGTGATTAGATACAACAGCCTCCACCCATTCAGTTGTAGTGTATATTAGGCCCCCATAGGGTGACCAGACAGCACATGTGAAAAATCGGGACAGGGGGTGGAGGGTAATAGGAGCCTATATAAGAAAAATACCCAAAAATCGGGACTGTCCCTATAAAATCAGGACATCTGGTCACCCTAGGCCCCCAAATACTCCTATCGTATTCAGCCAGTAAGGAAATTTACTTTTCATGGTACTTTCCACAATTTTCCATTTGTTTCCCTTGTGCTCTGGGATTTCCCTTTGTTTTGTTTTATTAGGGTGACCAGATGTCCCAATTTTATAGGGACAGTCCCGATTTTTGGGTCTTTTTCTTATATAGCCTCCTATTACCTCCCACCCCATGTCCCGATTTTTCACATTTGCTGTCTGGTCACCCTATGGTTTATTAAGACTTACCGTCTTCAAAGAAAGAGCCCTATTTGGAAATGGAAAAGTGTCTTGATTTCTCATTTAAAATCGGGTCACTCTATTACATGTGTTTCTTTGATCTTCTTCTAAAGATTTTTGGGTTGTTGGGGTTTTTTAAGAAAACTTCACTTAGTCAAAGTCATTTAGTTCAAAGGTTTGCTGCTTAGCAAATCTTAAAGTTTGGGAGGTGGAGCAGTGTTTTTATTTTATTCTCAAAAGGAAGTGGCTACTCATCAGACCCTGTAAGGGATCCCACTCTGGATTCCATGTGCTTTAAGCTCTAGAGTCTGAACAGAGTTCAGGCACTGCCCCGGCTTGAGGTCTCTGGGCACACTCTTGGGGTGCAAATCCTCTGTTTAGCATCCCACCCTGAGAGCTTAGACCCGTAGTCCAACTGCCTAGCCTCTGGGACTAGTGCTAACCCCCAGGGCCGGCTCCAGGCACCAGCCTACCAAGCATGTGCTTGGGGCGGCACCTGGAGGGGGGCGGCGCTCAGGGTTGGGGTTTTTTTGTTTTTTGTTTTAAACATACTGGGGCTGTTGGGGCGCCCGGCGACGCTCCGGCCCGAGAGCGGGGCTGCGACTGGGCTCGCCGACCTCCCCGCGGCGCTTCGGCCGCCGGGGAGAGCAGAGCCGCAGCGGGCTCGCCGCCCTCCCCCGGCGCTCCAGCCGGTCAGGGAGAGCGGGGCCCTGGCCGGGCTCGCCGCCCTCCCCCCGGCGCTCCGGCCGGGCGGGGAGAGCGGGGCTGCGGCGGGCTCGCTGCCCTCCCCCGGTGCTCCGGCCGGCCGGGGAGAGCGGGGCCGCAGCCAGGCTCTCCGCCCTCCTCCCGGCGCTCCAGCCGGTCGGGGAGAGCGGGGCCCCTGCCGGGCTCAGCGCTCTCCACTGCTGCGCTCCCCGCCGGGGGGCGGGGGGCGGCGGGCGGCGGGAGGCTTTTTTGCCTGGGGCGGCAAAAAAGCCAGAGCCGGCCCTGCTAACCCCTCACTCTCCCGTAGTTTAACACACCCTTTCCCAGCACACCAGCCAGGTACGCACTCTGGGGTCACAGGGTTAACGCTTTAAGGGCATATAATAGGTCTCTCTCTCTCTCACACACACACACACACACACACACACACACTGCAGAGCAGAGCATTCTTTGGGTTGGGGTCAGAATCCTCTGTGGGTTTTCCCAGGGTCCTTCTTCTGCATTCATGGATTGTCTTCTCAACCATGGAGCGCCTATCTTTCCCTCCCCAGGTCAGTTTGCTTTGATTTTGGTTGGTCCTGCAGCTAAACTGGGCCCTGTTTGCTATGAAAATCGCTTGTCTTTTCCCCCTTGCCTGCTCAAAACTTCTTGTGTGGTTCTCACGTATGAGCCCTTTTCAAAACCCTGCTTTGTCATCTCTGTCCCTTTATTCTGGCTGAGGATTTTCCACTCTCTCCCCTTCACCATCCTCCTGCAGAGAGGTAGGATAAAATTGATTCTTCTAGGCTTCAGCTAAACCATTGTCCCATGGTACTTTCGCTCGAATAAGTAGTTGTGGCATTCTAATGACCCCCCCATTGTGCCTGGTGAGGGAGGGATGTGACACACCCCTTGTCAGCAAGGGTGGAACCACATTCATATAGAGGTATTCAATGATACAGAAATTTTCATAACAACAACTGAGTAACATTGGCCTGAATTCACAAGTTCTACAAACAGACTCCCCAAATCGTCACAATAGCAAAGCCAGACGTTAGGGAGGTGGAGCGGTATTTTTCTGCTGCACTCAAGAGGAAAGGGGTTAACAGCATCTCTCCCATGTAGGAATCTGTAAATGAGAGAGACAAGGATTTTTGGAGTATAAATCAGGCTTGGAGAAATGCCCTATGTTGGGAGGGGATAGGGTGCATACAGCTTGAGTGAATCTGGCCCTAAGCCCCCATCAGTGATAATTAATTTAAACTCTTGCTCTAGTTCTGAAATACTGAATTGTAAACAAAATCAAAGTGGGCCCGAGTCTCAACTGCCTTGCACCTTGTACAGTCATTGTCACTGTTCGAACATGCTATCAGACGCGAATGGTAGTATTTTGCATCACTTTGCAGAGGCAGAAAAGACTGTGCAAGGCACAAGAGGGTGGAGAATCTGGCCCCCCAGCTTACGTGTCAGAAGGTAATTTCAAAATGGATGCAAAGAGATTGACATTCTTTTCCTCCTCCCTACCCTTTGATTTTAACAGCACTCGCAAACAAAATTACATGATGAATTTTTCACGGCAACATGGGCTCAGGCATTTCTACAACAGAAGACGAAGGTCACTTAGACGATACCCATGAAGAAACGAGAAATTTATATTTTCCTCCCAACATGTGATGTGTTGCTTTCCATTCTTTAAATCTTAGCACTGCATCTGGTATCAGGACTTTTCTGCAACTGGCTTGGTGAATAACGAAAAGCCTTTCTCAAGACAGAGTGTACACCACTTTTTCGCACTGTGAACTAATGAGAAGTGACTTATTTTCTCATAGGTAAATGTTTTAATGTTGACGTGTCTGTGAAAATTGTGATCTGTTGTAATATCAGTTACAGTGGCAGTATGGGAAGTAAGCAACTAATCTGTTTAACAGGAAAAAAGTTTAAGCACAAAGACTTTTTCAGATTTTATGTTTAAAAAACTACATATTAAGTACAGTATTTAACATTCTTTGTCACATAGCTATTTAAATGCACTTGTATTTCAGCTCTGTATCATATTTTATATGATTAAGTTATCGTTGTCTTCTTTGTATTCTCTTCTACAACATGACACATTGGCACTGTATTTACTTGTTATGTTGTTGTAATATTTTGCTGCTGATTTTTGGGCTATTTACACTCTGATAACATGCATAAAGCAAATTGCAATACCTACTCAAGAAGATAATTGCAAAAGTAGTTGTAAAGACGTTGATCTCCTTCAGTCTTACTCTTTGATATGTCTGTTGGCTAGCATTGTTTTGTGGATAACAAGAATGCTTGACATTTAAACTTTTTTACTAAGCAGCTGTGGATAAAACCCCAAACAGAAGTTCCCATTTCCTTGTCTAAAGGTAAAACAGTTCTCTGAGACTGATTTACTTACAATAACTGCCATTTGATGTCTGTAGTAATGGAGTGATTTGTAAAGTGAACGTTTCATCGTGTTCTATTTGGTGTTTGTTTCTATTGCGGGTCATGTTTGTATCTTCTGATAAAGTTGTACCTACACCAGCAACATTACAATGCCCCTATAGCCCTAAGCTGTCTATTATCATAAATAAAATGTTTCACTATATGGTGAACCAAGCTAAAGATCCATGCTTCAATAAAGTAAAGTTGATAAACAAGTTTGTTATTAGATTTTTCAGGCCATTGTGTCCTAAATAAAATTATTTGGTAAGGGATTTGGTTTGCTCACTCAGATTCTAACAATAGCACACAGATGAACACTGTTTAATATTTTTAAATATTTAGTACATGGTGCTTCAGTAGTGTCTTTCCTTTGGGAATCTCAAAGTGCTTTACAGACATTAATTGAGGAAGTTTCATAACACCTCTGAGATATATAAGTATTTTACAAGTGGCAAACCTGAGGGCAGGTGAGTAAGAACAAACATTTGCAAGTTTGGATACCTAAAGTTAGGCACCTAAATCCATATTTACGCTGATCTCATACAATTTCATGGAAAATGTGGGTGTTGAACACTTCTGAAAATCAGGCCATTAGGGGCTAACTCTAGGACCTATAATTGAAAACGTTGACTTAGCCAGAGTTACATAATGCATCATTGGCAGAACTGGGAACAAAACCCAGAAGTTCAGACTTCCAGTGTCCTTCACTATGGACTGGACCATTCCTTTTTAAGACAATTACTTTACTCTCAATCTTGTCAATCTGTTTAAAAAAAAAAAAAGTTCTATTCAAAGGAAAGAGTTTTGAGACCCTAACCAAACTATTATTAAATAGTATAATAGTTTAATGTTTTTTTATTATAAGACTGAAAATATTATAATACAAAGTCCCAACTCCCTCCTTCTGAACAAAGATCCAAGATATTAAAACTCTTTTCTTTAAGATAATTTTATTTGGCATAGCATGTCAACAGATGGACCACATTTTAACATACAGCATGTGTAGCTGTTACATGGCGAGAAAAACACTTTCTATCAAGTACAATAGTATAAGGGAGTGAGGAAGGTGAGTATGAATTAATCACACTCCAGATAAGTGAGACCAGTACAGTCAGTCAGATGCTTCTCAAAATCATAGACATTTATCTTGAATAAATATTTGTGGGTGACAAATTGGTTCAATTGAGTTATATATCTAGAGCCCAGCACTATAATATCTAAACATAATGTATCATTTCTGCATGCCAAAGTTCATAGGGGACTCCACAGTGAATTCTGCCCTTTTGCCCTCCCCAGGTTCAAGGAAGCTCTTTCTTAAGTTTGTGTTTTTATTAATATAACACACAAGGAGCTTGTATGCACTGTGTGCTCAGTGTATTTGCTGTCTTTTTTCTCTCCCACGTGACTGGTGAAACACTGGTATCAATTGACACTAATGGTCACTGGAGTAGCAAGAGTGATTTAGTACATTATCAAGAGCAGTATAATAGCAGCAATGCTATAAAATGGGCTAATCTTATCTATTGATATTACACCTTGGCAGGGATAGCTCTGAAGTTGGCAGAGTTTATTGTTCCTGCTGGTCATCACTAACCCACATTGCAATGGAATAAGAAGAATGTAAGTCCAACAAAATTTGAATTTAAAAATATGAAAAGAAGCAAAACTCCTGCCTCCTAGAGTTCTTAACATAGAATCATAGAAGATTAGGTTGGAAGAGACCTCAGAAGGTCATCTAGTCCAACCCCTGCTCAATCATCCCAGCCAGGGCTTTGTCAAGCCGGGCCTTAAAAACCTCTAAGGATGGAGATTCCACCACCTCTCTAGATAACCCATTCCAGTGCTTCACCACCCTCCTAGTGAAATAGTTTTTCCTAATATCCAACCTAGACCTCCCCCACTGCAACTTGAGACCATTGCTCCTTGTTCTGTCATCTGTCACCACTGAGAACAGTCTAGCTCCATTCTCTTTGGAACCCCCCCTTCAGATAGTTGAAGGCTGCTATCAAATCCCCCCTTAATCTTCTTTTCTGCAAACTAAATAAGACCAGTTCCCTCAGCCTCCCCTCATAAGTCATGTGCCCTAGCCCCCTAATCATTTTCATTGCCCTCCGCTGGACTTTCTCCAATTTGTCCACATCCTTTCTGTAGTGGGGGTCCCAAAACTGGATTCAATACTCCAGATGTGGCCTCACCAGTGCCGAATAGAGGGGAATAATCACTTCCCTCAATCTGCTGGCAATGCTCCTATTAATGCAGCGCAATATGCCGTTAGCCTTCTTGGCAACAAGGGCACACTGTTGACTCATATCCAGCTTCTCATCCACTGTAATCCCCAGGTCCTTTTCTGCAGAACTGCCGCTTAGCCAGTCGGTCCCCAGCCTGCAGCAGTGCATGGGATTCTTCCATCCTAAGTGCAGGACTCTGCACTCATCCTTGTTGAACCTCATCAGATTTCTTTTGGCCCAATCCTCTAATTTGTCTAGGTCACTCTGGACCCTGTCCCTACCCTCCAGCATATCTACCTCTCCCGCCCATCTTAGTGTCATCCATGAATTTGCTGAGGGTGCAATCCATCCCATCATCCAGATCATTAATGAAGATGTTGAACAAAACCAGCCCCAGGACTGACCCCTGGGGCACTCCGCTTGATATCAGCTGCCAACTAGACATCGAGCCATTGATCACTACCCATTGAACCCGACGATCCAGCTTGGATTCAACAGTCCAAGTAAAATCTATTATTCTAATTAGCATATATGCTTGTTCCCCAATTTGCTTTAGCTTTTAAGAAGCAACTACTTAGTCAGCAGCCCTCACTTACAACCATGAAATGCTACAATACAGCATTGATAATGAAGCAGTCATGTTGTCTTTATAAGATTCTCTTCCACAGGAAGAAAGAGCTCAACCTTGTTTATGCTGAAAATTAGCAGATCAATATACTCTACCATTAAACCTACTCCAGTGTCCCTGAATCAGAGAGAGCAGTTAGCATTATTCAAGAATAGTGTAACATGATCCTCCAGACCAGCCTAATCATGTCTGAATGGTAGCTTCTTAGGACAGTCCTAATTTGCAGTGCAATGCTTTTGGTCAATGAAGGGCATGATTGCTTGGATTGTAACTGCTTGGCCTCATTTAGGTACTTGCCAATGCACATGAGCTTTAGAAACATGTTTCTTATTATGTTTAATATTATATTATGCAGCCCAGAGCCTTATGTGGACAATTAAACTGTTACTCGTCTTTCTGGTAAAAATCACTGCCTTTGAATGACCAGATTGTAGCTGAGATTTGCAGACCTAATTGCTCCCCTCTCCCGCGTGTAGCTGCCACCACAGCAGGTGTCTTACCTGCAGTATCACCATAGCACAGCCAGAGCCTGGGGTAGAAGGCCTGGGTCATGCCAGAGACCATTGTTGATGATATCCCCTGCCCAGAGTGTGGGGTTTCTGGAGACTTTAATGGCTCAGTTTTTCCCTGATTTGCTTACACTTGCTATTTAATCAATTGTATTTGGTTTAAATTCAATGTAATGATTAGTGGGTTAGGAAGTGACAGGTGAGGAGAGAGAACCCCGAGTGGGAACATCTTAGCCCCTGTCCTGAGTGACCCAGGGCAAGACTAGGCGTTAAGCCCCCGCGGGATCCTGGGCCCAGCCTTAATCAGAGTTACAAGGACTCTGCCATACAGGAGAGTGGAAGAGGAGGCGTCCTTGAGCTCAGGCAGGCATCCAGGTAAAGGGAGTTGGGGGCAAGTACTCAGATCCTTTCGCCATCCGATTGCACCAGATTAATACAGAAGTCAGGGAAGTTCCCCACAACAGCGGGACCATTCCCCTGCTTACACTCAGGACAGTGCCACAGTGAGTTATCACTCAACTGATATAGCGATAGGAGAAAATGTGTCTGTTTGTTGATGATATTTTATTTTCTTGTTAATCCTTTAGTATAATACAAATAAAACCACTGAATTACAATGCTGTCATAGTTTCAATTCATTATTTATCCATTAGTGCACGATTCATATTCTGATACCATCATCTGTTGCCTTGACCTTGGCACAAGAAGGAAGCTGCAATAACGTTCTGAAAGACCCACCACATTAGGCTAGTAACTACCCACACGACAGAGCAATATGTGACGCACTAAAGTATCTCACTGTAACATCAGCACTGCCATTAAACAACACAATGGGTCAAATTCAGGAGGTGACAGAAATGGTGTTAGTGAAACTGGGTCTGTGATGGAATATACAAACCCCCAGACTGGGCAACAAGGGGCTAAGGAACTACTCTGGGCCCAGCCAGCCCCACACCACCACACCTGTAGCAAATGTGCCAACTGGAGGAGGAGTTAAAACGCAGGGAACAGCTCATTTGGTGGCAGACCAGGGAAGAGAGCAGACCTGCAATTCCAGGAGAGAAGAGCTGAGGGAAGGCAGAATCTCGCCCTAAACAACTGCCCAAAGGCCCCTCCCTGAGGGAATGAAGGACCTGCTGCAGAGACAGCCTGAGAGGGAAGTTTTCCCCTCTCTCTCTCTCTCACATGAACTCCGGACTTGGTGAATCTCTTTTACTTTGTTTGGACTACCTGCAGGGGGGTGGGGGGGAAGGGGGAAGCCCTAGGACTGAGGCAGGAGGAGGCATTTGCTGCCTGAGAGAAAGAGAGCAACCTCACTACACACAGCTGCCAGAAGGTTTGGTGTGTGACGATCAACTCCAAACTGGTGCGCAGTACTCCGCTACCGAATACGAGGTGGCAAGAGCTGAAGTCCGCAAAGTTGGAGCACGAGCACCCCATGACAAACCTGCCAGTTTGCTAAGAAGATTATTGTGCGTCTTAACTTTAGTTGCTGTCTTCTTCAGGTGGGTATGGCAACTCGGTGTGCAGTCTAAGGTCACACCTAGATAGATCGGTTCTACTTCATGCTTCACCTTCTGACCATTCAGATAAACATTTAGTTCTAGGGTTGCGCTGGCGTGATGAAGATGGAACAAACTGTAGACTGTTTTTATGATGCTTGGCTGGAGGCGCCAAGTCTCACTTTATCATGTCCCAGTTTAAGGTGGCATCAAGCTCGTGAAACGTCCGGGCCTGGGTACCGCAACAGATGTTGTCTGCGTAAATGAACTTCCTTGATTCCGTTGATGGCAGGTCATTGATGTAAAGGTTGAACAGGGTTGGAGAAAGCACAGAGCCCTGGGGTAACCCACTGCTCTGTCATCTCCAAGCACTCGTCTTCTCCCCCATATGGACTCTGAACTGCCTATCGCGGAGGAACAGTTCAACAACACCTGTGACCCAAGGTAGCAGGACCCGTGATACCTTCATGAACAGGCCAGCATGCCATACTGTATCGTACGCCGCTGTTGGATCGATGAAAACAGCGCCTGTTTTCAAGTTTCTCTGGAAGCCATTTTCAACAAATGTGGTCAGCGCGAGTACTTGGTTGCATGTGCTACAGCCTCGGCGAAAGCCGGCTTGGGCAGGGCTCAAAATTCTCTCCACGTCGGGTAATATGCACTATAGGACCAAGCGCTCCAGTGCCTTGAAGCACACCGACAATAATGATATGGGACGATAGCTTGATGCTTGACTTGGGTCATTTCCAGGCTTTAGGAGGCCAATGACTTTTGTGGTGCACCATATCTTTGGTAGCCTACCTTCACTGATGACCCTGGTGAATAATTTCACAAGCCAAAGCCGAGCACGGGGAACCAAGGTTTTTCAGGAATTCTGGAGATATGTTGTCATAGCC